AAGAGAGGCCGAGGATATGCAGGCCGAGCCGGGGATACTGCAGCACTCTGCTCGGACAGGCATGATGAGCGCTAAAGTGTCACCGTCAGCAACCGTCATTAACTTTAGGACTGAGCACACCACGGCTGCACAGAGAAAGAGTCCTGACAGAGGGGCTGCCAGCTGCACAAAACCCCAAACTTTGTCTCAATTTTTGAAGCTGTCCATGGACTGTCTACGGAGGAGGGATACTGCAACGTTTCACTCCAGAATCCAGCTTTCTTGAATTTCATTGGCTGGAATCTGGTACTCGGCTGGAGCAACAGTCTTATTGGATAACATCCCGAGGTGCATTCTGGGAGTTGTAGGATATTTCACACTACAAACACAAGTGAGAGACTTATGGGTAACAACAATGTTTTTTATCCAACATTCCACAAGTCTGGATACAAATACATATGTATTTAGTTTGTGTTATACATACTAAATATGACAACACAGAGCATAAAATAAGATAGCATTTAACAGGATTTCCCCTCATCTTTTGGTCACATTCTTATTTTTCACACTACTTATTTTTTTAAAAGCCCTAGAAAACATTTTATTTAACCACACATGTTTGAATCATTGAATATAATTATTTTTTATTCAGAACTTCCGAGTTTGTAATATTTATGTTTGTTTGTGTAACCAAGTAGATACTGAAATGATGCTGCTACTGAAACTCCTCCAGCTGCACCAGCAGATGGTCCATATATCTGTGGAGGTCTTTGATTCGCATGCGGTTCTCCTTAAGGTCTTTGTCTTGAATCTGAAATAACACATAAATCAAAAAAGCAAAACAATAACAAGACTGTGAGATAAAAGGGAGAGGTTTGTCATCCAGATGAAAATAAAAATGGGCTGTTTGTTTTAATGTAAATTAAACTCTTTACCCCTTTAATGAGGGCCACTTTCCAGGAATTGGCACGTGAAACCAACTGAGTTTCTCGGTCATTGATCTTCATCAGGTGGTTATCGTGGCCGGTTGCCAGTGCATCCATCACTGTCTCTTTGTCTGTAAACAGCTGCACACAGAGAACACAGGGGAGACAGCACTGACATTGGTGATAGTCCATGTTCTCTGACTCATTCAGGTTAATCTTTGTCATCTTATCAGGGGAATCTATTCAAATGAGAATGTTCTTTCTCCTACTATATTTGCAATATCATATTTCTTTGCATATATATATATATGCTAAATTACATATGCTAAATACACAGCATCTTCAACACAATATGACAATATTTTTTAATTTTGTGGGTGTTTTTTTATTTTTAATTGGTCACAGTTCTGTTTAATATTAATCAGAGCGCAACTGAGGGATACAATTATGTTTACAATAGTTCAAATAATTCTATATTATATCGTAAAAAAGGATAAAACTCACAATTCTAACATCATCTGGCAAGAATTCATCCAGGTTGTCCTTGCTGGCGTCGTCCAGAAGTGCTAAAGCAGACACTCGCACCTTCCCATTATAATCATCCTCAAGATCTCGACATTGCGCAAATGTATGATTATGTCAAGGAAAGTCTAAATTGGATTGACGATTGTTTTACCATAACTGTGTGTGTGTGTGTGTGTGTGTGTGTGTGTGTGTGTGTGTGTGTGTGTGTGTGTGTGTGTGTGTGTGTGTGTGTGTGTGTGATTTGATTATTTTGATTATTTTACAATCAGACCTGGAGCCAGTTTCTTCCCCAAATCAGGGAAAACATCATCTCAATAGCTTGACCCTGGGAACAGATGTGTTATTGGAAATTATACAAAGCTCACGAGCTGATGCACAGTCAGAAAGGATATATCCCCTGGACCATTTCAGTGAAGTAGCCAACCATCTCTGAGATGTTGATGTCCAACCTTTTGGTGATATCCTGAAATGAATAGAAGGCTTCATTACGAAGAAGAAATATAAATAAAATAAAAATAGCACACATTTTTGGACATGTGGGAGATAGCTAAATTATTGAATCTATACGTGTCACCTTAGACTTCAAATGTGTAGACACAGTGCAGTTTTAAGAATAAATGTAAGATACACAATGTATAGAATGTGGACACACACACACACACACACACACACACACACACACACACACACACACACACACACACACACACACACACACACACACACACACACAC